AAATCTGATTCAAAAATACCTCGTGCACATGTGCAGTGCCATGATGTTTGGGTTTTATTGCTGTTGATTTAAAATAATGCATTATGGTTAAGGCATTAATCGTCCAGACCTGTCTGATGCAGCTGCTGATGAACATGATGTGTGATGGAGTCTATTAGAATGCACTTAAATGAGCCTAAAATTCAAGAAACGAGCACAAAAAATAAATGACCCTCTTATATTTACAGTGGGTACGGAAAGTATTCAGACCCCCTTAAATTTTTCACTCTTTGTTATATTGCAGCCATTTGCTAAAATCATTTAAGTTAATTTTTTTTCCTCATTAATGTACACACAGCACCCCATATTGACAGAAAAACACAGAATCGTTGACATTTTTGCAGATAAATTTAAGGGGGTCTGAATACTTTCCGTACCCACTGTATATCATATGACATAGTTTAGCAATATCACACCAGCAAGAGTGCTGCTTTTCCCCAACATCTGCACCATTACTCATGTGATATTGATGTAATAGTTCAGTAAAGAAGAAGTTGGTATTGTGTTTAAGATACAGTATTGTCAGTAGTGTCTGTTTTGATCCATTTCACAAACAAAAATAGTTCCAATCAAAACCACAGCAGAACAGTTGAGCGTCTCTGACCAGCACACAGCAGTGATTCGTTACTGAAGGAATCGAGTCAGTGATTCAGTGACTCATTAAGAGAGTCGTCCCAATACCCACACTTGCGCTCTTTGCATTTGACCACTCGTCTCCTTTCATGACGTATTTCCTGTGTTTGTGAGTTCTGCACATGATGAATGATCCTCAAACACGGCTCTGAAGCGCTATTAGAGACAGACGGGTTTAGTGTTCGTTGAGGACGCTGCGCTTCGGATGGTTTTACACATTTACTTGCGTTGAATCAAAATATTTCTTTCTAAAGCTGTTTTTTTTGTAATGTCAATTCAATGCTTTTCAACACAATAATGACATTAAATGATCTTTTGGGGGGTAATTTCTCAGCCAGAATTGATGTACAATTAATTTGTGATTAAGTAGATAAAAAATGTAATCGCCTGACAGTCGTAGTATGTTTACATACATCTTATGAATATGCATGTATTTATTTACATCTTATGAACTGGTCAGAGGAGGAGATTGAATATTTACTAAATCTTTGTTTAAAATCTGTTTTATTTCTATATATGTCATCAAGGCAAAAACTACAATTACAAAACTACACTTTTCATATTTTCTCCAGTTCTGAATGCTGTGTATGCGCTGAGGTTTTGTTAATGTAATGCACATGTAAATGAGTATGTGAATCAGATTGCAGCGTTTAAGGTTCATATAAACAGATCTTTCTGAATCTGAAGTCAGGTTTGATTCATTAGAACCTTCCTACAGAGAGGCACCTACCTAGCAACCATCCAGAACACCCTAGCAACTGCGTAGCCATATGCTAAAACCACTCCAAACCGCTTAGCAACTCTATTACAGATGCAACGTTTCATATTTTCTAATGAAATCTAGATAACTCTTAAACTAAATAGGAAACGACCACGACCTCTTGAAATGAAGAGCGCAGAATGGAGAATCTGAAGAATACATCAGCCTTGAGGTTAATATAGTAACATTCGAATGTAAAATGTCATCGAATCAAATGCAGCTGACAGAAGCTAGAAAACCCCAGAGATCCGTCTGTTTCATCTCGACACAATCCCTGCTGAGGATGTGCGACGAGTGAGACTGGGCTGAGTGTTGAAGGAGTGGGTGTTCTGTCGAACGCTTCTGGATCCCGCAGCAGCGCATCTCCATGGCCACGGGCCAATCAATCACACCACATTCATGTGCACCTCAGGCCCAAAGCACCATCAGACAAGCTGATATTCCCTTCTGCTTCATGCAGAATCAGCTGTGATATCTTAGAGAACCGCTGGTATCTGCTCACCAACACAGCCATGCTCCGCTCCAGCGTCTGACAGTAATAGCTGCCGTCTGAGAGCCTTATCTGCTGTAATTCCTGGTGTAGGTGGGTATTACTGTAATTAGATGTCAATAGAGACATGCGAATATATGAGACGCTGAAATAGCCCCGGTGAGAAGCCAAGCGTCCTCATTTCCACACTTTGATTTCAAACCATGTGGATTTGGAGACGCTGTACATTTTTAGTTCAGATTAAAACCAGCGCCGCCAAAGAAGCGCTTGGAAAGAAACGGGTTTTATGAGTGTGTTTATGCCCGAGGGAAACCGTGCGACCGACTTCAGATACAAGTGTGTCATGAGTTCTGGATCGGGGTTAAATAGTCATTTCTTTGCATGTTTAAATGAAATATACATGTACTGAGCTATAAATTCTATAATCAGTCTAATCCATTTTTGCACTAATAACAGAACCTTCATGTCATTTTTCAAAACTCTAGACACATAATTCACAACCGATGATCAAAATGCACATTTTTCAAAACACTTAACACTTTGTCCAAATGCTTGGATACGATACACATGAACCAAAGATCTGTTGTTCACTGAACTAAAATCATCAGTTCAAAATGTTAAAATATTACTATTTCAAAATGCACGCACACATTACATCTGAATTGAGTGTCTATTCATTTCATTACAAAGATCTAACTATCAACTGATACAACTGCTCAAAATGCTACATAACTGTTGCATTACTCTTGAAGCATAGTTTTTATGAAAATGATGAACAATATTGAATGTTTAGATTATGAAAGTGAAGCAGCTGAGTATGTTCAGGTATGATCAGTTTCAAGATGCCTGTTGCTAGGAGAAAAAAAAATTCTATATCATTGTTATCAGTATTTGTTTTTCCTACAATAACTGTCTTTTTAGAGGGTGATAGAGCTGGAAGCTGATGAAAGCCATTCATATTTTTGGACGAGGCAGGCTTTACCCTGGCCATGACATGGAGGAGAGTTTGAGAGCCCAGCGGTTGAGAGGGGCCAGAACGATGTTCGCTGGGGGCCCGACCACCCCTCACTGAATGAGGGGACCCCATAACAAAATCAGTGCAATGGGCCCAGAATTCCTAACAACAGCACTGAGTGCAATCATGGTTTCAGGCCCATCCACATTATCACCTTGTATTTACCCCATACTCCGCTTTCCTTACTGTAACCCGACTGAGGAATTGTTCTCCACATGGAGGTGCAAGGTTCACAATAGAAACCCTCACAAACAAGTCCCTCTTCTCCAGGCCATAGATGATGCTTGCAGTGATATCACAGGAGGACACCTGTATTTGCCATGCCAGAAGATGTTTAGCTGAAGAAAACATACATTATGATGTGGATGAGAAAGTGAGGAACACTCCAGTTGAGATTTTACTGTAGGCCTACCGTAGCTTTTTCTTTTCTTTGTTTCTTATCTAATTGTTTCTAATTTAAAGTTTTTTGAAAAACCTGTTGTGAGTCTGTACTCTTCTCTCTAGTCTATTACAATGATGTATGAATGTCTGGAACCACAATGAAAGCTGCATCATGTGTTTTGAACAGCTATATTTAATGATTGTATTAAGAAGTAAACAGAGAAACTATGGGTATCTTGTGTGCGGCTGATCTAAAGTAACGTTCCTATGATATTTCATAATAAATGAGTTTTTTTAACCAATGCTTCTGCAAGTGCAAGGCTTCTTTAAAGATATGAACGCAATATGCAACGTTTTGAACACTGGACAGCCTGTGTTACAAATCATGACTGTTTTGAGTTTTGTGTCTAGAGTTTTGAAAAATTACACGAAGGTTATTAGAGCAAACATGATTGTAAAAAACTGTAAGCGTTCCTGTCCTGTGGCGTCTGGACTGGGCTTCAGCGGGGAGGAAAATACAGGCTTCTGTGATGCTTCACCGCCCTCTGGTGGTACAACACACCACAGACATGTTATCAGTCGCTCATAGGATTCTTCATTATCAATGTTTACTCTCATAAGGGTGTCTGTTAGGTTAGTATAGTGTGTAAAAGGCTTGGACAGAAATACAGCATGTAAATAAAGAGACAAAGCTATCACTGATGACTTTGGGTTGTCAACTTAAAGTTAATTTTCTTATTTGAACCGACTTTTTGATAAAACAGGATAGTATGTTCAGGATCCACGTATTATAATAATGCGACAAACTGAAGGACGTTTTCATTCATGTGACAGACAGAGAGAGAGAGCATTAAACTGCACTGCCATTGTGACAAACACACATCTGTGTCAAAGAACAGCTGAAATGCTTATGACTGTAAACCGAGTTGTTTCATACGTGTAAAAGCTGACATACCTCACTAGGTGTTTTCAGTGAAGCAGCAGACGCAGGTATAGTGTGTGTTTGAGCTGCTGCACGTCTCACACTCAGTCCTTGTGAGTAAACAAGCGTCTGCTATCCGTCACATGCATCCTGTTCTAGTGTGTGTCTCTTCCTGTTTACACACAACACAAGCCCATGTGCATGTGATGCACCTCTGCACTCAATACAGCACAACACAACAGATGACTGAGTGATGCTGGAGCGGTTTACACTCAATCCAAATGATGGTCAGAATGAAGAAAAACATCTGTGCTCTCCAGTCACAAATCTAAAGTGAATGACAGATTAGGATTTCATTTTCAGTGAGACAGGGTAACATTTCTAATAAATTACAGGAAGAAAAAGACAAAACACCAGTGAGAGAGACTGAGCCTCCTCATTAAGTATTTCAAAGCGATGTAGCAAAGAAGCTAATTCTATTAGTAAATGTATGTGATTGGATTATGACACCTCATTAATTGCCAATACTGTTTTAAGATATCCAGGTAATATCATGTGTATGGCAGCAGAATCTGCAGTTTTCTTGGCTTGATCAGTATTAATGACAAATTGCTTCAAACACACCATCAGATGCATCCCTTTATTTACAGTGGCAGCAGTGACCTGATGATGACCTCCTGGTGTCATCATGTCGCAGCCAATCAGATCCGAGGGATTCTCCAGCACTGAAACAAAGCAAGCGCGCTGAACGGAACTGCTCATGAAGAGATACATATGAAAAGGGCGGGGCTTGGCGGCCCGGACTTCCGCTTAGATTTGTCAAGTAAGATGGGTCTAAATAATAACGATCTTATTTTAAGCTATTACTGTCTGGTTTACCTCTCGACTGTGTGTAAAGCAGGGAAATGCCACTGATCTGCTGTAAACTGTTGCAGGCTGTCACCTGGTGCCTGTTACTGTTCTCCGCGCTGCTCCGGATCGCTCAATCACAGTCGACTGCGATCGCCAGTGTGTGTGTGTGTGTGTGTGTGTGTGTGTGCAGATGATTTTATAGCGATTACTGGGGAAGGTTTGCCTGTGCATGTCAGGTACTGTACTTCATATTTGTAAAAGATTACAACACTTGGAGTGTTCATGTCTGCAGGGAGGCAGAGGCCGCGGTGCGGTGACTGAGCCGTGATTCTCAGCGAAACTCTCAGCGTCGAGCCTGAAGCCTGCAGTCATCCGGACCCTGTTCCCACAGAAGAGCAGAGCGAACATTACTCCTCAGCATCAGCTTTACGATCGCAGGGAAACATGGTTCAGTCCTGCTCGGCGTACGGATGCAAAAACAGATACCACAAAGACAAAAACATCTCCTTTCATAAGTGAGCTCCACTCCTGCGTGTGCTGTTGCATGTGTTTCTGTCGAAGCTCGGGGTTGTTTTGTGTCCACAGTTCTTGGGTCGGTTTGTTGCAGTGCTAGTTCAGCTTTACTGGCTAGAAACTTCACAGCACGACTGATGTGTTTCCCAGTAAAGACCAGCTGTCGTGTTCGATCTTTAATGTGTGTTGAGGCACTAGTGTTCAGTGATGTGCTTACAGTATGCAAGTGATCATTCTGACTTCATTTATTTCCCCTCATGCACCTTAAGCCCTGAATGACTTTCTTCTGTGGAAAATAAAAGAAGATGTTTTGAGAAATGTCTCGGTGTTTTTATCCGTACACTGGAAGTCGAAACTCTTTGCTTCCCATCATTCCTCAGAATATCTTCTTTTGTGAGTCACACAGGAGGCGAGTAAATAAGCACTTTTGATGACAGCAAATGCAATGCACATGAAATTGCTGAAATGAAGAGAAGCCTTATTTTACACAATATTAGATTTCATTAAAAAGCAATACTGAAGGTAACGGATATGGCATCATACAGACACGTTAGCTGTCTTCGGTAATTCTGTACGTTTTGTAAATGTGTAAATGTTATATTTCCTGTGTTCACTGTGTTGTTTGTCTGTACAGTGTGTATATGTTCGCTCTCCTCCGCTGATGTATTGTGTAGGTTTTCACTTTACACTCAGGTAAATAGTTGAGTGACAATCAAGTGATTTGATGATGATCTGAATTAGTCCATCTTGAGGTTATTAGTGATTGCATGTAATCTGGTGTTTGTCGTCACCTGCACAGGTTTCCTCTGGCCCGGCCGGACGTCTGTGGGAAATGGCTGGCCGCTATGAAGAGAAGAAACTTCAAGCCCAGCAAGTACAGCAACATCTGCTCTCAGCACTTCACCAGAGACTGCTTCAAGCGCGAGTGCAACAACCGTGTGCTGAAGGACAACGCCGTGCCCTCGCTCTTCTCCTCCAGCAGACTGCAGATGCAGGTGACGTGACTTCAAACCGCAGTTACTCTAGCACAGAAACTAATACAAACCTCTTGTGTTCATGGGTGTTATTGGTGAACGTGTTCATAACAGAATGTAGTGTTAGTCGTGCTCTTGAAACTAGAAACGGCAAAAGAAAAACTGCACAGAGATTTACACCTGAACAAACATTTAAAAAGGTTGTTTTCGTAATGTCAGTCATTTTCAGATAATCTGTTTTTTTTCCCTCCCAGTTCAGCAAAACATTAACATTTATTGCATAACTACATGCTGTAGTTATCTGTCTAACTAACCATTATAACTAATTAGTTAGATATGACCTCAGTTATGATTGTCTAACCTCTATACATGTAAAATGAGGGTGTCTAGCTCCAGATCTGGGCTCCAAAGGATCATTAAAGTAATCCATAGGACTTGTGCCCAATACTGTATATGTACAGTTTCCTGAAGTCATGTGATTAATGGGAGGAATGATATAAATCTGTCTCTCCCTCCTCTAATCTCATTGGTTCAGGCGGATATTCAGACTCGTTGCTCTTATTAGATGTCTGTATTGCCAAATGCCATTGGTTCCATTGGCTCTGTCTCATAAACAAGAGCTTTTTGTCGTTTTTGGAGCTTGATAGTCCACCGTCCACTTTCATGGAAAACAGCAGCCGAGCACAGTATAAAGTAGGTCTTAGAAGTAAATGACAGAAGTTTATTTATTGGGTAAACTGACCCAGTATCATCATTCTCAGCTGGTAAAGTGGTTGGGTGAAGATGAGCGGACGTCTCACTTTTGTACAGGATGGATTTGAAACGTAAACGCTAATGATTCAGTGGTCACGCGTGTTTTTGACCACCTCTGAATGTGGTTTGAGTGTTTGGATCACAAAACGCTCAACTCTCATTTCTCCAAAGTTCAGGTAAAACACGGCCCTGTCCCAAATGCTGCGAGCGCAAGTCTGCATCAAGCGCTCCATTCGGGACACGGCCTTTGAGTTCCCATCATATGAGCCCTATAAATCTCACCATTAGCACATTTGCTGAGAAAAAAAGAACATAATTTGCCCTCCGTTGTTCACAGGCAGCGCCTCTGGAGGAAACATTGAGCCCAGACATGGAGTTTTCTCTGAGCCTGCCGCTGTCTGACGCCGAAGAGACGCCGGCGGTGCGTCCGTCTGAAGCAGAGCTCTGCCCGTCCACAGCCCTGCCGGACCTCCACACCAGCGCCTTCGTCTCCTGCGACCACAACTACACGGTGGAGGACACGCTGCAGCAGAAGAGACGCATCGAGCAGCTGCAGGAGCAGATGGAGAAGCTGCGCAAGAGACTGAAGACGGTGCAGCAGAAGTGCAGGCGGCAGGAGAGGCAGCTGGAGCGCTTCAGAGCCATGAGCGAGGTCCAGAGGGACGCGGCGCTGGGAGACAGCTACGTTATCCTGCCCAAAGAGATCTACGACGTCCTGAAAGGAATAGAGACCATCGGTGCGTTGTGAGGGAAGTCGAGCGAGAGAGAGTCACGGTTTTAAGTGGTTTTAGCTTTTCCTTTAGGGGTTTTAATTCTTCTGTCAATCATGACTTGTGTTCTGAATGTGTGTGAACATCAGACGTTTCTGTTGTGCGATGTTCTCTTTGATTGAAGGAGGTTCAGATGGACATTGGTGACACAGAATGAGGTTTAGCTGCTGTGGGTGTTGATCACAGATCTTTGTGGAACTGAATGTCATTTCAGGAGAGGATCGTCCGCTTCAGAGCACAACTAACTCAGCATGCAATAACTGTGTGAGAGGATCATTCGTCCGTTTGCAGCGTCTGAATACGTCTGCCTCGGTCAGAGTAACTAGCACTTGTGAAAATAGTCCATGCGCTTGGATGCCAGATGAGCCCCGGTGCATGAGAGACTCGACCGACGCTGGAGCTGATGCTGACTCCGTGACAAACGCTTCAGTAAATCAGGTTCTCATTATCAGCAGATTTGTTGAAATGGCAGCAGATCAGTGTTTGTTCAGTTATTAAATGTTTTTTTTTTTTTAAACCTCTAGAAACTATACTGACTAGTTTGTTTTGATTTGATTAATGTACTAAGATGACCAAACTGGACTTCACTAAACACATTTTCAGTAGCCTTAGAGTCACATATCAAAGGGCTTTGAGCTGTTTGTTGTTGTTTTCTCATCCCTTGCTTATTCATTTATTATTTACAAAACAGTAATAATTGTGGAATCAATTTAAGCCATATATGGGTAAAAATAGATTTTTGCTGGGAAAACTCATAGTTGCCTTACGGTCACAGTGCAATTGTTCATGTGTTTGACTTTCAATACAACGCTCTCATTCTTGACCTGAGTTTGTGCTTGAGTGCGTTAGAATGAGTTTCAGTGTTGTCAGGCTTCCTGAATGTTACGGTATATTACTGTCTTGTACAGACACACGTATAGGACTCACACTTAATGGAAGATGATTTTATATATGGTCAGTATCTGGTCAGATTTTTAAGGCACCAGCCTGGCTAAAACCTGATGATTACATTACTTTACTTTACATGAGTCTACCCCCCAAGATTACTGTTATAAACATGAGCTACGTCCAAAAGGTAAAGGGAGAGGTGTTGCTTCAATTTATAACAATGTTTTCAGTATTTCTCAGAGGGCAGGCTTCAAGTATAACTCGTTTGAAGTAATGGTGCTTCATATAACATTATCCAGAGAAACAAGTGTTAATGATAAATCCCCGGTGATGTTTGTACTGGCTACTGTATAAAGGCCACCATACAGACTGTATTACAGAATTTGCAGATTTTATTAGTACTGGCTGCAGATAAAGTTTTAATTGTTGGTGATTTTAATATCCATGTTGATAATGAAAAAGATGCATTGGGATCAGCATTCATAGACATTCTGAACTCTATTG